GAAAACTAATTTACTTGAGAAAAGAATTAAACTATATAGTGAATAAAATATTATTTTTTATGGAAATAATTTTTGAGTAACCTTTGCGAATTAATTTTTTAAGAATTAAAAAATTGATAGATAATTATACTGATCAAATATTGACCAAATCAATTTCACTCATCAAACTAAGTTACTTACATGTTTATTTTTATATGAATTTTACCTTTAACAAAAAAAAAAGAGCAGGATACCGAGGAATCTTTTAATGGTTCTGTTTTCTATCGATGGATTTATCGAAGCGTCTAGGTTGTTGTTATTTTGGCCATCAGTAAAATATTATTGATGATTAGTTAAATTTGTGGATAACTTTTCGATTTTGCATTTTGTTGGAAGTTAGGAAATTAGAGCTTCGTTGTTGAGGTGCATTGTGACGTCCAAAAAGGGATAGTTGCATATTTCTTGTTAAAGGTATGTTATTATTTTAATTGTAGTTAATATGTTATTAACAGTACTATTATTATGACAAAGTATTTATTTGAAAAATTAGTACTTTTATCATAAAAAATAATTGTTTAAAGTATTTATTTAAAAATACTGTTATTATGAAAAAAAATATTTTTTATATTATTCAAAATGTGTAATATTATTAATTAATTTTTAAAATATACAATATAGCATAAATTATTTATATGAACATTGTGTATATATTAAGCATAAATTATTTATATATAAGTTTGAAATATGTTATTATGTATTTATTTTAGAAAGAAAAAAATACATAATTGTGATGCTAGCAAATATATTATTTTTTAATATAATGTTATCAGTTATATTTAATTGTTGTTATATATTATATTTAAATTTTATGTTGTAGAGTATAATAATATTTAAATAAATGTTATAGTGTATAATTATAATAGTATTGTAATAAAATAAAGATAAATTTAAAATTAGTATAATTTTTCGTGTTATTTAGTTTGATATTATAACTATTTAATACTATAAGGTAGATTTTTAAAGATGAGTTGGTTATTGCGTATGTTTGATAAAATAACCAAGCAACTTTATATTGACAATTGTGTGTGAATACAAATTATCACTACAAGAAAATTTGAATCTTACACAATTAATTCAACTTTAGACACATGCTAAATTTCCATTACATTGCATCCACACATATCTAAGAATCTTCCAATCAAGACAATCATATGGTACCAGGTATGTTTATGAATAATAAACTTTCTATACATTTAATTTATAATATAATTTAATTGTATGTTATCCAATGCTTTCGATAGTTGAGAAGTTATTCATTTAAAACATTTAGGCAAGATCTAGCATTTTCATGTGTTTGAGATAATGAAAAGAGATGAAGTTAATATTTCGATTATTGTGATTTATTAGTACTTATAATTACTTTATAAATACTAATTATGTTATAAATCTTACAAATTATACAGGAGCGATACATTATTGTTGTGTTAATTACTGAGTTAAAGTTTCATTTTTTATGGACTAAACTTGTATAAATGTAACACATGTCAATTGCTGAGTTAGTTGCACAATTTCATTAGACTCAACATGAAAGTTATGCCGTATGTTGATTGTTAGTAAAGTTGCACATTTTCTACTTGCTTTTTAGATTAGTTATTATTTAAAATACCAGTGGTATAATGTTTTCAAGTTATCCTATTTGAAAATTTTGTTTTGTGTTAAACTCAATTTGTTCAAAAAATCGTATAATTACGATTTAAACCAATGTCAAACATACATCTGTTCTTGCCCAACATCATTATTGTTATCACTTCTCTCTTTTGCCGTTGTTTTGATATTTTCTCAATCAGGACCACAGTCCTTTGCTAATTTTGCAACGAATACCACTATTCATAACGTGGAGGGGGAGGTGTCCTTAGCCTGGCCTTGTCATTGTTCTAATGGTGAAGTATTGCCTCCTTTTCTTTTAATTTTCATTCGTATCAATCACCATACAGTGATGCAAATTATTTTCTACTTTTTTTTTTCTTGCATATGAGGTTACAATTTCCAATTAGAATGAATTTTATGTCCACTTATTTTTAAGTGACCAACCAAATATTAGATAAGAAGGTTTCCAAATTTGAACAATAACATATAATTTCATAAAATTGGATAATTTTTTTTATTTAAATAAAGCATATTTTTTATAAAGAAGATTTGTTTCAACACGTTGTATTCGATACAAGTAAAAAACGAATTTGACTAGGTTTTTTAAAATTATAAAGAAATCAGAACCAAGTTAAGATAATACGGATCAACCCTTTTTTTTACGTTCTTTCAAAAAAAATCTTACTATTTTCAAAGTAACTGAAGTTATATATATATTTTTTCATTTTAACATTCATTGCATTCATTAATAATAATAACAATCAAAAGTGTCTCATATTGTGAATTTGATTATAAAAATTGTACAATGTTATTATCCTCAATAAAAATCAATTCATAAAAATATGACACATGTCAATTGTTGAGTTAATGGTGCATTATCGATAGACTCAACATGCAGAAAATGCCACATGTCCATTGCGGGTAAAGTTGCACAATTTTAACTTACTTCTTACTGTTTAATTATTGTTTAAAACACTCATTCTAGTAAAATGTTTTCGAGTTACACTATTTTAAAATTTTGTTTTGTATTAAATCTATTTTGGTCACAAAGTTCTATAATTACGATTTAAAACAATATTAAACATACATGTGTTGGTAGACTATTCTTGCCCAAGGACCCTTATTGGTATATTTTGTTTCATTCTTTTGATATTTTTCCAATCAGGACCACAGTCCTTTGCTAATTTGGTAATGAATACCACTATTTATAATGAAAGGGAGGTTTGTCTTTATCCTGCCCTTGTCATTAAACTTCGATTCCCATCGGTTATCTTGCTTTTTTACTTGAACCAAGCTTTGGTGTTCCGATGATGAAGTAATGTTTCCTTTTCTTTTAATTTTCATCCTTATCAATCACCATAAGGTGATGCAAATTATATTTTTACTCTTTTTTATTGCATTTAAGGCTACAATTTCCAATTAGAATGAATTTAACATCCACTTATTATCGAGTGACCAACTAAATACTAGATGAGAGTGGATTTATATTTTACCCTTATAGCAATCTTCCTCTACATTCGTTACATTCATCAATAATAACAACAACAATGAAGCGTTGTCTCCTGCAGTGAGTTCGATTATAAAAATTGTACAATGCTATTAAACTCAATAAAAATCAATTTTTTTAAGATATTATTATTATAATTTTGTTCTGTTAAAACAAAATTTAGGCACAACCTACTTCCGCATGATGCGTTAAAAAAATAAAAATAAAGACAAGACCTCCTAGTTGTCATGTACCCCATGAATTATGATAGATGGGACTAAAGAGTGATGCACAATGGTTTATGAGAAGCCCTTGGATGGTCACACCATGCATTTTCTGACTGATTAGTCCAAACGGGTTAGCCAATTATTATTTATAAAATAAGCAGCAAAGTAGCCATTTTGAGAAATTGACAACCGTGCTTTTGGCGACCATTTGTTTTATATGAGGCTAATTGAATTAATTCAGCGCATTATATTCCCATACTTTCCTTTTTGTTTTAGGCACACGTATATGGTAGCTGAATTTTTTAGCTCGGAAAATAAGGAAAAGAGTGAGTTAAGCCAAGATTTTTTTACCAACGGAGATCCCACACCAATCATGCTGTTGTGCATGTGCATGCAAGTGTTATCCCTTTACTTTGACATTAAATCTTCGTCAATCATTTGGTACACATTAACATATAACAGGAACCACGTCTAAGACACTTATCTCGTCAAATAGTCCCTCCAAATAGGCACCTAAGAAAGAATTCTTTTGTCATTACTTTTTTCAAAAAATGGATAATACTTTCTTTTTACTTTAAGAAAAATGTCGAAGAATGTGTTTTAACTTTTTACTTTAAGAAAAATACTTTCTTCAAACAACTTGAAATCCCGCTATAAAAACTATGCCCTAGGTGCATTTTTGAAGAATGTGTTTTATTCAGTTAATTAATTAATAAACAGGTTATTATTAGATAATTTTTTTTTGTAAAATTAATCAAAGTCTAAGGAAATAGGTTTAGAAAAAACTTATAAGGAGGTCAATTTTTTCATACAAGTTCAAATATATTGCTTTAAAATGTCATGAAATTGACTTATGATCTTTTTATAAGTTGTTTTAACTTATTTAATTGTTTTATATAATTTTTATTAAAATAATCTCTTTTTAATTTATTTTAAAAAATTTACAAGTGAGTTCATAAATAAAATCCATTTAAGTTCATAAATATATATTTATCCAAACATGTGTATGGTAAAAATTCAGTCATTATTAATAATTGGAGTAAAATTAATTACCTATAATAAACTAATTCTAGGTGTATATTATACTCATTTCATTTGCTTAGTAATTTTTTTACCTTAAAAGTGTAAATGTTATTGGATTTTGAAATGATAAATTTTTACTTTATAATAAATGCACATTGATTTGTGTAAATAGTTTCTTAAAATTTGTAGTAAGTTACAAAAGTTGTGTTTTGTTATTGGTCCTCCGACGGAAGCAATATTATTTTGAGGCGGTGGTCTCTGATGGTCTTTGCAGTTGCTGAGTGGTTAAAAGTGAGTAAAAATCATGGCAAAAATTCAGCAAGGCATTTATAGATTCTACAGATCAAGTTGAGTTTTTGTTTTCATTGAGTTTGTGCTGATCCAATCTAAATAAATGCAGGCTTGAGTTGGACTTAGATTTCTATTTTGAGGCCCTAAATAAAGAATAAATTGATATGATAAAATTCAAAAGCTGCATTACAGTAGAATGAATTTATGTTGTATTTGAGGTGTGGGCTTTGATCCACATGGAAATGCGTGCAACGGGATGGGCCTCATCCGATCCAATCTTAATCTTATCAGATTCTGCCAACGGAGTTGAGTAGAGTTAGGTGTCATATTATATACTCTCCAACACTCAACAGTGAATACCATAACGTAACGAAACCAGAAAGAAAAGATTATAAAATACTAGTCACTGCACAATTCATATCAGATGGTGCGTGTCCCACTCCTCCAACCTCCCAACTCCCAAATTAACTCCAAACCCAAACCCATACCCAAACCGAGTTAGGTTTCGTTCCATTCCTGTGACGCCGAAGCCATGGCTGATTCTTCCAACCTAAAATCTGACGCCATAATGGAACAGATGAAGCAGCATCTTTCCACCGACGAAGGCAAAAAACTCACCACAAAAATTGGACTCGTTTATCAGTTCCACATTGCCCCTAAGGTCCTTCTTTTCTCTTCTCATTAAAATTTTATATCGTTCTCAGTTCTCATTGAATTATGAATTTAATTTCTAGAAAATTGGATTCGACGAGGTCGTCTACACCGTTGATCTCAAGAAAGGAGAGGTCACCAAAGGTTAGTTAGCTATATCTTTCGATCGCTTTTTAACACCCATTCCTATGAAATAGTTTATTCTTGTGTTTTCATTTGCTTTGTTTGTAATTTTATTACAGTGTATCTGTATACCTGGTGTTGTCTTAGGTCTTAGCTGTAAATTGATGTTCAAGTTGAAGACTCGTGTCATAAATCATGATGGATCTTTTTAGATGACTCTGTAACCTTAAAAGAATAATGATGTGTTCATGTTACATGGACTAAAAAACGGTGCTTCTATGCAATGCATTGTAATCTCCCTAATTTGATAAGCAATATGTGTATATATATATATATTTTCTGTTCTATACACGGATGAGGATGAAATTATGTGTTGAAGAGATGGAGCTAGTGTTCAGGGTTTCGCTCTCATCTTTTGCTGATTGGTTGTTGCTGCTGTATCTTGTGATTATATGATTTCAATCTTTTAGATTGTACGTTGTTGTCTTGTGTTGAGGATGGTCCATGTATGTAATGTGAGATAATGAAATTAAATCAAGATTAAAACAAATGCTTCCTTACATGCCTGAGTGAGGGAATGACCTTCGGTGGAATTCATGCAAGAGTTCTGAGCAAACGGTAATTCAGGACAGTATGGGTTGGAGGGCGTCTAAGAAGATTTCTTACTCCCAAAGGCTTAGAATGGAGATGATACAGTGGCCGATGGTGAGAAGTGAGTATCCCTAGATGTGCTGAAGAAAACCAGAGCCTGATTCATGTCCCCCATTTTTACTGAAAAGCTTAACCTTTTACCATTATGGAATGTGTGATCCCAATCCCCTAAACGTATACGTACATGCCTCTTTCTCTTTTAAATCAATACACGTGGTAACTAGTTACAGTGATATGCTGACAAACAAAGATCACTCTCAGACAGATCACATCTACCAAGGTGAGGAATGTCTAGTCCCTGCTCCTCCCATTGAAGCCTTGGTCTAATTATCAATAGTAAAATAAGAAAAATACCCAAAAGAAAGCACGTCTAGGGAGACATGATTTTTCACATTCTTCCCCAGGTCAGGTAAGACATCTAGTAGGTGTTTGGAACCGTGTTGCGTACAGAACAAACTCAAGTTCAACTGAATGCTATACATACAGCTTATACGTTAATGTGAAAATGGAACATGAAATCTAGTACATTACTACTAGTTCCCCTCCTAGTGCTGGATGAATTCAATACCTTCCATGCAGCACTACTTCACTAAGTTGACAAACCCACTCTCTAGAATCTCAGTCCAAACATCTCATCAGCTAGAGACTAATCAACAACTGTAAAAGTTTTGCTGCAAATTAGATGTCTCCTACAATCGTATTTCTACAATTCTACTTAATTTGGCCAATTTTATTGCGTTCTCCAATAATGCTATCATGTATGATTATGATTATTTTGGTGTGTCTGTGTTTAGGGCCATTCGAAGGAGGAAAGCCCGATGCATCTTTTTCATTTAAGGATGAGGACTTTGTTAAGGTTGCCATGGGGAAGATGAATCCACAGATGGCATTCATGAGGTTTAACCTTTAAATGGATTCTTTTGTCCCCAGAATCCTAATTTTTCTTTTGCTTTTCTTCTTTGTTTATGCATTGATGTTCTTGTGTCTGTTACGGTGGGGAATGGATGCAGGGGTGCAATGAAGATTAAGGGAAGTTTGAGTGCTGCCCAGAAATTTACTCCAGATGTCTTCCCAAAGCCTTCCAAGATGTGAGCCGAGATGCCTGTGACTACTTGCACCAGGTTGCTTGAAGCATCTTTTGGCTGCAATCAAACAAAATAGATAGCATCAAAAGCTGAAGACTATATCTTTAGTTAATACATGGGTCATCATATTCATAATTCCTAAGGTTGTAGGTGGTTAATGAGTTTAATGTAGTTATGAACTCTGAAGGATATTTAAATACTGTTCTGCAAATCTGGCAAAGGTTTTTTTTATTCTACTGTAATTGGATGTTTCAATATCAGAAATAGTTCATCATGAATTATTTATAGCTCTCTTTCCATTCTTTTAGCCATAAGTACTTGGATCAATGCGTCGCTGATCATGTCATTAAAGTCCATATTTGTGGATGCCAGGAATCTTGTTTTCTCAATATTTTGTTATGAAATTTTCTGTGTGTCTACGCCCTCTGTATAAGGGATATCTATGCCAGTGTAACGCTTTTTAATCAATCACTAGCCACTGCTTTATAAGCTTTCCTATTCGAGTATGATTGGTTCTACTTTTTCTTACAGACATTTTAGTGTGAACATCTACACGGTTGTAATCTGTTCTGACGTAGGTGCTGATAAATTAGAACCAGCATCGCTCATTGTCACATGGCGTCTATATATAAAATGTCATTTCCCCATTTGGATGGAACCACGATGAGATTTATCGTTTTTTGTCAGATTATTAGAAGATAGAACTAACTTGTATTGAGCTTTATAGTGGCACTAAAATCAGGAATCTAGATTTTTTTCCGATATTGTGCGAACTGGACGACTAGTTTTATTTTTATTTAAACGAATTTACATTTGCCTAAGTAAATCCTCACATTGAATGTTAAATTTTAGTAAAATTCGCATAAGTTTCACTCCATAATTACTTTTCCACTTCTAGTTATGGGGCTCAACAAACCACCAAGAAGTTTGGTTTTTGCTGTTAATGGTAGGAGAGTTGACCTTGCCCACATTGACCCATCAACCCCTTTGCTCCACTTCTTTCACACTCACAATCGCTTCAAGAGTGTCAAGCTGGGTTCCCATGAATGTGTTTGTGTGGAACCATTTCTCTCTCTTTGCATGCTTTCAATTGTGGGTTGTTTTAGGGGTTGTGGTGCTTGTGTAGTTTTAATCTCCAAATATGATCCTGAGCTTGACAAAGTTGAGGATTTCACAGCAAGCTCTTGTCTCACTCTACTTTGCAAAAGACATGGGTGTTCAATAACAAGTGAAGGGATTGGAAATACTAGGAAGGGATTCCACCCAATTCATGAAAGATTTGCTGGATTCCGTGCCACTCAATGTGAGTTCTGTACCCCTGGAATGTGTGGTTAACTCTCCGAAACTCTTGTCAATGCTGATATGGAGGATTTGAGGTTCAACTCTTTTTGAAGAAGGGGAGACATCAGACAGCAAGGACTTAAAGCTTAGTTAGGTTGCCGCAATATGACTGTAATCAAATTAGAAGTGGAAAAGCTGAAATCGCTTAAGCCTTATAATGAAATTCTATTTATTATTGACTAAAAATATAATTTTGGGTCTAGAGGGTAAAAGAGGCAAAATAAAAATATTTATATTACCTACTTATAATTTTCTCCAAATGAGGGGTGCATTTGCCCACTTTCAATTGTATGTAGGTCCGCCTAATGCTCACCAAAACTTCACTTGATCTGGAGCCAAGCCTATGCTTGATCTATGCACTTGACACTCAAAAACTACAAGGTCATTATGTATGCCGAAATGCCTTTCCTCGGTATGGGGGAAGTAGAAGAATTGGTTGAATTTGAAATCCTTGTAACCTTGTTTCATTATGTATGCCGAAATGCCCATCTGTTGTCAGAAATAAATTTATTGCATGAGACGACGTTTTTTCTTGGGTGCTATTTGGAATCAAGAATAGGTTGAAGAAGTGAAAATCCTCATGCAACCCCAGTTGCTGAGCATCATCAACTGAACCAATCTTAGAGTCAGGATTCTAGTTTTTGACGACTCGCTAAATATCGTTTTCTATGGCTATTAGAGGTTCAAAATCCATTTGGTATCCTTTCCTCGGGCTGAGATGCTTCAAATTTGTCATGTTGGCGTTCCAGTGAAATGGAGCGTTGTGGCCTCTGGTGACTCTGAAACGTGTCTTTCTCGTCCTATTCCTGTCAATTATAGTTCATTCGTTAATTATCTTATCCTATTTCGTTCTTTCTTTATTCCTCATATAGCTATGTTCCACTCACTAACACGATGAATTCCACGGCCAAGTGCGTACTTTTACTGCATTGAACGCTTTCTCTATCTCTGAACTCTTGAACCCTACAAAGCTAATCTGAATAAGTTCAAATCACAGTGAGAATAGGCGAAAAATACTCCCATCCATCATGTTTAATTATGTGATCAATTTTCGTTCTTCCTCCTTTCGTTCTTTCCATTTTTACTGATAACTATTCAAGTATTTATTTAACATTAGATTAAGGTCTGTTTAGAACAAGAATCAATTGCTCTCACAGTGCATATATTTACCCTTGGTTGAGATTAATTTGTGCACTCATGTTAATTACGTTTAATAATTTAAAATTAATTTTATTAGAATTAAACATCCAATTTTATAACAAACAGACACTTAAATATCATGTTCTGAGACCGAACGCCTTTCTGAATTGTCGAAGTCATCGTGCTTCTCGAACGTGGAATTCATTGGCTCGGACCTTGATTGTTGGGTTCTATCAGCATCACAATGCAGTTTCACACTATAACTAACATAACATTCATGCATTCTCTCGGAATGGCCTTTCTTTCCATTTTCTTGTAACTTGCAAACTCCTACGTTTTGTTTTAGTAGGACATTGACCTAGTTTAATCCTCTGGGGAAAACAATACTTTGTTTTTCTTTTTTTGTCTAGGGAAAACACGTCATAAACATAATACTTTTCAATGTTTTGACCAATCTTTGAAGATTTGCATTTAGTGGTTGCCCCTGATGAAGCGTTCTTCCATCCAACCGTTTACCAGGAAAATTTGCAAGTCTTTCTCCGCGTGAAGACCAGCTTGACTAGATACCGGTAGTGGAATGCTAATGTACAAAGCTCTTAAAACCTTGAAATTTAGAAAGTTTAGATACATCTATCAAATGTCGTATTAATATAAAATCATGTAATACTTCGTTGATATATATATATATATATTAAGAAAATGTTTAGTTTTATTAATTACTATAAAAATAAATTAATTTTACTAAAATACTCCTATTAAAAGTATTAAAATTATTGAACTAGTTAAGTAATAACTAATCTTAGTTAGATTCCTTTTAAGTAAGGTTTTGTGAGTTGCATGAATGTTGTGTTATTGGAATGTAATAAGAAAGGGAATTTGCGTAAAGGAATTGTGAATTGGGGAAGAGGGAATGAGAGAGCAATAGGAAACACTTGTCTTGCCGCCACGGTGAAAAGGAGTGTTGTCGCAACTACGGAAGAGTTCCATTACCTATGCCTCTCTCAAACTTGTCTTTCTCATCTTATTCCTGTCACTTCATTTTATTCTCACTTTGTTCATTACATTATCCCCATCTCTTTAATATTATTTCTTTTTCACACACTTTTAATTATTATTTAAAATTCATTGAAAAATATAAAAATACGAGAAAAAATATTGATTTAAAATAAAAAAATTGAAACCCTCAATTTTAACCCATAATTAAGAGTGTTTTAAAGAAAATATATCAGTAAACATGTTACTAACGTCTCTCTTTCGATATTCTATTGCTGGCTGCCTATCTATATTTCATTCAGAGCCTAAGCAAAATAATCTAAACATGTTCATTTCACATTAAAAATAGGCTAAACTATGTAAAAGTCATGCACTATGTTTATATATGTTTTCAATTTTTGTTTTTCTTATTTTTTCAATAAATATTGAAGTATATTTTTCACATTTGACTCAAAAGTCTAAAGAAAGATAAGATGGGTCAATAGTTACAATTCATTTTCTCGAAAATGTATTTCTTTATATCTTTTTGATAAAAAAATAAGTCACAATATAAATTTAGATCATCTTCAGACAAACATACATCTAGGTTGGAAAATTTTGGTGTTTTTTTTAAAAGTTATCCATATTTTTTTTTTTTCAAAACATTAGGTTTTTAACCTTCGTGGAAACATCCAATTCTTTGAAAAATCAAGGCACAACAAGGCCTAGCTCAGGTATACAAACTTGCTGTAACCTTCAAAAATAAATAAAAACTTATGAGTTGTTTGTTTTTGTTTAGTTTTTAATTTTAAAATTATATTTTAAAATAATTTTAAAAAACTTTTTAAAAAGAAAACAAAAATAAATTTATGTTAAGAAATGAATTTCATTTTATTTTTACTTTTAAAATTTTAATTTTAAAAATATAAAACAAATTTCCTTACTGTCCTTTTCCTTTTAGAGTTTTGGTGCTCTTTCCTTAAGGAAGAATCAGATAATATAAGCTTCTCACGTATGAAAGATATTTAAGCATATAACGGTAGTGGGAATGCAGCTTTGCTATTTGCAAGCTCTAAGATGGCATTTGATGGGGACGTCTATAGCCCAAACACTGCTAAAAATGCGTAACTTTGACTTTCAATACCTTTTCATACTACCAATTAAGAGTTTTGAGATTTTCTTTTGCGCATCTTCTTAATAATTTTTATTTTATTTTATAAAATAAAAATGTATATACATTTATCATTACTTCTAATCTTATTTATAAGAAACAAATACTAAAATCATTAAGATTAATAAAAGTAGTTATAAATAATGATTTATATTCTTTTTTAAACATATTCACAATATTAAATAGTCAAATTGGTGTGTTATAAATTAAATTTAGGAACAAAATATTAATAATTATTTTTTATAAATAAAATTAAAAATAATACAATATTTTCTATGTTTAAAAATTAAGTGAGTGTATAAATATAAAAGATATGTTATTTAACTATTATAGTAAAATAAATTATTTTTACTTAAATACTCCTGATGAAAATATTAGAGTTACTGTGGTTATTAGATTGTAAGAACTACATTAGTATGAGATTATTTTTTCTAGGAATTATATTCTTATAAATCATGTTTCTTAGAAAATTTATTTTATGTGAATATTAAAAAAAAAATGATATGTCTTAAATATTATCTTAAAAATATTTTTATATCATGTTTAGTTTAATTATTGCTTAAAAATATTAATGCTTCTTTTAAAAATATTTTTTTCTTCAAACTATCTCTTTACATTTTATAATAATCCCCTTACATACATATGCGTGTGTATGAGAATGTATTATCTTGCATTGTCACCTAAATCGACCAATATAAGTGGTGATTATTATAAAATTTTAATTATAATGACTTTAAATAATATTTGATTATAGTTGTATTTTTATATTGTATTTTTTTCCTTCCATGAGAATATTAAATCTTCGTTCCTCTGGTTGAAATGTTTTATTGCAAATTTCATTAAAAAGATATTTATGAAAATACTAATTTTTTAAAAATATTTTTAAAGTATATGTACTAAATATGAAAATTGAATATTTTCAACTTAAAATTCTTGAAAAACTTAAAATAATTTTTCTAGCAAACTCTCTTAAAGTTAAAAAAAAAAAATATTCCATGTAAGTATAAATATTAATAAAAATAATTAATATTTTTTATATTTTAAAAATAAAAAAATTACGTTCTTTTCTTTTAATAGATGTGTATGTTACACTACCTTCCCTTCTATCTTAAAATTATATAATTATCTTCTCTAAAGTATTAAAATACATCACAATTTAATTTATTTTAAATTTTTTTATTAAAATATTATTAAACACTTGTATGCCCTAAAATAATTTTAAATAGACAAAAAAAATTAAATGTATAGATTAATGGAATAAAATAATTTAAAATTATTCAACAATTAATACTACATCTAATTTTAGTTGTCGGTGAAGATTTCTCAATTCTCCAAACGATAACATATTTTTTTTCCTTTTTCCCTTTATTATGAAAAATCATATCATCCTTCTAAAGTAGTATCTTAGATATTTGTGAATATTCTTTTCAGAATGTAATATCTTAATTATATATAATATTAAAATTCTTCCCCCATGATTATTACGTGGCATTTTCTATTTTGAATATTTTGAAATTATCATTTTAATTATTTTAATTTTATTTTATTAATATAATGTTTGAATTGTTCTACCATTCAAAACTTTTATAATAATTTTTATAAATTTAAAAATATAACAATGAAAATTGTATTAATTTTTAACTAATTAAAAATTCATGTATATTCTGTTACACGTACTGATAATAAATAAATAAAAGCATATACCATTTATTTAAATTTTATATTTTCATAATTATTTTTTATTAATAAAAAATTAAATTATTTGAACATTAATATAACATAAGAAAAAATTTAAGTTTTATTTTATAATTATTATTTTCTAAATTTATAAAATAAAGTGTAATTAAAAGTGCATTAAGTCTTAATAAGCTATTAAATATATTTATTATATATTGATAGTAAAATTTTAAAAGATAAAAATCAATATGTCATACGTAAATTTTCTTTTAAATTTTTTAAATTTTTTATATTTTAAACATAATTTTTAATTTTTAAAATGAATTATATTTAAAATTACACTAATTCTTTATAAATTATGAAATATATTTATTTATTTATTATATTTTTTATAATGATCTTAATTAGAAAAAACAAAGACATGCATTAATATAATATAAATATTTTTATTTGAATTTATTTATATATTATGTTCTCTTTAATCTTATTCTTATAAGTTTTGATGAAAAAATATTTGATCAAAATTTTGTTAATTATATTTTTATGTTCAACTAATAATACTTTTCAATAAATATACATATTATACTTTAATTTTCTTATAGTTTCTTTACTAAATTTGTAAAATATATCACAATTAAAAGTACATTAACTCTTAATAAATTATTAAAATAATATATTATATAATTTAAATAATTATTTTTATATAAACGTTTTGTTTAATATTAATATGTTTAAACTTATTATAATCTAAATTATTGAATTAAAAAATGTAATTATTTCCTATTCTTCTCATTGAGCAAAAATATTAGTCTATTATAACCTGTGAAGCCCCCTGGCCCCCACACCTTCGGATATCGTCGCTATTTACTTTGAAATTTCTATTCTACATTCACATTATCGTAAATTCCTCCAGTTCATGAATTTTCTCAATTTATTTTAATATTTTAGGATATATTTGAGAATTGGTTTTTAGAGAAGAAAAATAAAAGTATAAATATTTTTTAAAAATAAAAATTTATAATATTTATAAAAGAAAATAAAGATAAAATTAACATATTAAATTCATACTACTTTATCATTATACTTTTACTTTAAAAAGTTATTAAATTAAACTTTCAAAGATAACATTAATCATCTACATTTGTGATGATTCCCTCCTTATCTTGTGCCTGATGACGAAACTCCACTCTCTCAAGTTATAATTCATTTTAGCTCACTTCACGCAACAATGCTTCTTATGAAATGCAAATTGGCAAATTGCAGGCCCTATATAAGGCACAACACAAACAACTATCCAACACACAATCAATCAAAGCTATGGATTCACTTCATTTGTTAACCCTTTTCTGCCTCTGCCTTTCCCTCTTTCCCCTCTTCGCTTCCTCTGCCTTGCTGTTTCAGGTTTCACACCCTTTTGTCTTAAACTTTGACCCACACAAATGCACACAACACACATTAAACAAACAACCTTACTTAAATGTAAATTTCTAACTGTGCATTCATTATATATATATATATATATGGTATATGTTGTGACAGGGGTTCAACTGGGAATCAAGTAGCAAAGGGGGTTGGTACAACTCTCTCAAGAACTCCATTCCTGATCTAGCAGATGCTGGAATCACCCATGTTTGGCTCCCTCCTCCCTCCCAATCTGTTGCTCCTCAAGGTTCATCTTTTTAACTGTTTCACTGGTATATTTGGATATGCAACTTAATTATTTATTTGATAAACTCTAATCATAGAGGACTTATAGCACAAATTTAAAATATATCTTTCATTGTTTGCAGAATTCTGACCATGTAAGGTTGTCCTACGCAAAATATGGTTGTCAAATGTCAATTTGGATTGTAGTTTGGTTTGGCTTAAAAAAAGTAACTATATATCTTTTCACTTTTATTCAAACCATCATTGGAACCCAAAGTCATATTCAAACACAACTCAACCCATAATTTTGCCAAATATGTTGTCATTTGTAAATCAAACTCAATTCACACTCTCAAAACCAAGGTTTGGTGTGTGCGAAGTACTTTTAATCCAAACATGCTGAGTGTATGTTTTTGTCCCTTTGAATCCAGGGTATCTTCCGGGAAGGCTATATGATCTTGACGCATCAAAGTATGGATCAAAGAATGAACTGAAGTCCCTAATTGCAGCTTTCCATGAAAAGGGAATCAAATGCATAGCTGACATAGTCATCAACCACAGAACTGCAGAGAGAAAAGATGGAAGAGGCATATATTGCATCTTTGAAGGTGGCACTGATGATGCGCGTCTTGATTGGGGTCCCTCTTTCATTTGCAAAGATGACACTGCTTATTCTGATGGCACCGGAAACCTTGACAGTGGTGAGGGCTATGATGCTGCACCTGACATTGACCATCTCAATCCACAGGTGCAAAGAGAGTTATCTGAATGGATGAACTGGCTCAAAACTGAGATTGGATTTGATGGGTGGAGGTTTGATTTTGTGAAGGGTTATGCCCCTAGCATTACCAAAATTTATATGCAACAAACTTCACCAGATTTTGCCGTTGGAGAGAATTGGAACTCTCTTTCATATGGTCAAGATGGAAAGCCAAACTATAACCAAGATGATCATCGTGGGGTGTTGGCGAATTGGGTTGAATCTGCTGGTGGTGCTATCACTGCCTTTGATTTCACCACCAAAGGGGTTCTTCAAGTTGCTGTACAAGGGGAACTGTGGAGATTGAAGGATTCAAATGGGAAACCACCTGGAATGATTGGTGTAAAACCAGAAAATGCAGTAACATTTATTGACAACCACGACACTGGTTCCACTCAGAAACAATGGCCATTCCCATCTGACAAAGTCATGCAAGGATATGCTTACATTTTAACACATCCTGGGACCCCAACAATAGTACTTTTCTCCAACCTTTTAACTTTCAATATTTTACCTATATATTACACATTACAAATAATTATTTATAGCCAAAAAAGTTAACATTTAAAATTTTTATATAAATATTTTATCACGGTTTTTATCCAACTGTTTATAGTATAATTATTAAAGGTTATCGTTTACTTAATTGTAGTTTTACAACAACAAAAATATGACAATGTTTATACAGATATTAAAATATACATTTTAAGTTAAAAGTACATTAAAAAATTTATAAAGTTAAGGATTAAGGTAATGAATGTTATTTTCTCTTGTTATGAAGTTCTACGACCACTTCTTTGATTGGGGACTGAAGGAACAGATAGCGAAATTGACGAGCATAAGGGTGAAGAATGGGATAAATGTGAAAAGCAAGGTGAATATTCTGGCAGCTGATGCTGACCTCTATGTTGCAAAGATAGACGACAAGATTATAGTGAAGATAGGGCCAAAGATGGACCTTGGAAATCTTATTCCCTTTAATTTCCGCGTTGCTGCCTCTGGCCAAGACTATGCCGTGTGGGAGTGACTCTATTTATTGCATTCAAGAATAATATTCTATGTTTATCACTTATAGATAGTTATACTAACTTGTCCTTAGAATAATAAGATCATTTTATTCCCTTGTTGTACAAAGTATTTTTCTTTATAATAAGCTTAATTTTATACTAAAAATAACCAATTGCTACTCATGATTTAACCTTATATCTGCTAAGCGAATAATACGATGCCATTACTTCTTTTATAGGAGACCTAAAAATAAATATTATCATATAAAGAGCATAATAACCTTTAAACCCAAGTTTCATAGAGCAAATAATCCTAGGAAGCCATTCTAGAATATGGATTATGTTCTTTCTAGCAGAATAACTAGTCTTATCGAAGTTCGGATTGGTTAAACTCCTAGTCTCTCCCCTTTTAATTTACCCAAAAGAATTGATAAAATTTGATCACGTGGAAGCTTTAATGATGATATATTTTTGGCTTAATTACAATTTTAGTGCATACATTTTAACATGCATGTAACTTTAATCTTCTAATTTTTGTCTTTCTTATTTTTTAAATATTTAAATTAAGTTATTCACGTCAAAATTAAAACTTTTATTATATTTTATGCATTTTATTTTGTATTTTTATTGAAATATTTTTTATATTTTTCTTTACTTATTTATATAAATCAGTATATTTTTTGGTCATAGCTTCAAGGTTAGTGTCAAGAGCCGATCTCTCCTTCTACACGCCGATTGCTACTATGGGGCTTAAATAGTCTGTTTTATGAAGTCTTTGCAGTTCCTCTTTTTCTCTTGGGCCTCGGCCCAAATATCTACCACCTAATTGATAAGTTACTTTTTGGACCTGTTGACCCAAAGCTATAGTTACGTTTTTGTTTACGATTCATTTTAAATTTTTTTAAGACTTAATTATATATATATATATATATATATATATATATATATAATTTGGGATAGTTGTGATTTTGATCCTTCAAATTTTTTTTGAGCTATTTAAAAATATTTACTTTTAACTTTATGCAAATCTAGTTTCTCATCGATTTTCTTGTTTAAAACCTTTAAATTTTTATTTGTTTTTTCAAAATTTTAAAGGGTTTACAGTGAAATTGGATCATGAAATGATTTAAAAATTTTAGAAGTAAATAATTTAATGAAAAATTGGTAAAATTTAAAGTAATTTATAATATATGAGATTAGTTACAAAAAGATTTTAATTTTAAGTGAAATTTTGAATAATTTCATTTATAAATTTTAGGTAAAAAAATTGATGAAGAACTAAATTTATAAATTTTGGTTAAAAAAATTGAAAACCAAAATTATAAATGATGATGGGGGTATCTACAAAGGTATTCTCCAACACTCAACTTAGTATGAATTATGCGAGAGTTACAATACTTTGTGATGCAAAATAGGCTTTTTACAGGGAGTTCAAATGCAGGTATATCACAAATAAGACACTGTAGAATAAACTCTATTGTGACATGAGTTTTGTTATTACTGAATATTTTACAAGTTCTTATCATTCAGAACGTGACTCGGTGGTTATGATTCCTACTATAACACTCAACAGGTTTCAAATGGTGCATTTGATCTGTAGACATAAAAAGCAAGTCATTGGCGGCTTGATATCCTTGATTGTTAACTTGATCCTTGTTTGAAAAGTGACTCCCTCGAATGTCCAACCCATCATGGTTCTGAAATCTGTAATTCTTTGGTTTGGCCTTTCATTGCCTATTTTCGGATAAATTCAAAGACTTCATCGTCACCCCTACACGCCAGAACTGTCATAATGTATTTCTTTGAATTTTCTTTATAACTTGGAAATAATTACTCATACATTTTATACTTGGAAAAGAGATAGAAACTGAAAAAAATATAATAGATAATATGATTTGATAGGAAAAAAACAGATAATAAATAAATAAATAAAAAGAAAAATGAATGGATATTACTGTTGTAGCTTAGAAAGCTCTAATAGGATATATAAATATTTGAAGAGTTCCATTGATTGCCTCCCCTTAGCAACAGTATTAGAGTGGCCATTGTTCGATATATAACTAGTCACACTTTGAAAGTTCTTAGTGCCGACTTAACTTTCCTATCAAGGGTATACCTGTTCCAGCAATCCGTTTCAATCTAACATTGATTTTTTAGTTTGAATTTTTATAATTAGGTACATTTACTTTGAAAATAGGTTTAGGTTAAATCTCAATCCGTTCAGCTGTTTTTCCTTTTTAAACATATTTTTTTTAAGAAGGTTTGTATTTATAATAAAATTTTAAGACATCATATTTACATTGATATTATTTGTTTTAAATTATATAATTTTTTTAAAATTTTATGATTTAGTTATACAAAACATTTAAATTGATATATTTCTTTTACAAATTTAGTTGACCTAGTTTTGTTCTAATATTATCGGGTCAGATTTGAATACTAAAAATGACATTAATATTTATTTTTTAAAATTTATAAAGTTTAAAATAATCATATAATATATTTTAAATTATTATTAAACTATAAAATTCATCAGAAAACTATTAGTGGGTTAATAATTGTCATATTAGGGCTGTGTATCTGATTCTGAAAGCTGGATTTCTTCGATTTGTGCCGTGATTGGCTATGTTTGGTAAAATTCAAAGACTTGATCATCACTTCACACTAGAGCTACCATAATATGGGTTAGTTATTCAATCATTAGGACAATTGGACATGTACTTATTTGAATTTTCTCTATAATTTGGAAATAATGTTACTCTTACATTTTATATTTATGTGCAGCAGCAGGGAAAACAAAAATAAGCTAAATTATTTTAAATCGCTAAACTGATTACAAAAAATGAAAATTGATTAAACTTAAAATTGATGAAAATAAAAATAAAAGAAACTGTACTTTATTTTGAGTCTACTCTAAACTTCTATTTCTGTTATTTGAATTTTTTTTTATTTACAAATTTACTATTGTTTTATAGTTTTACCCTTTTAATTATAATCTATCTTTTCTATTTTTTTATCTTTTGACAAACTCACTTACTTTTCAGAATACTTTTTAGTTGATTAAAAGTTATATAAAAATATAAAATTTTAAAAAGTAAAAGTCATTTAAAATAAATAAAACATCGATCCAAACTCAATTACAAAATACCAGTTTGATTTTAATATTATATTCCAATTAAACTAGATTAAATCACTTATTTTTTTTAATTTTATCTTCAGTTGAAATTTATTTTATGTTAAAGATAAATTAAACCAGACTAAGAGCATTCCTGTTTAAGTATAGACGGGTTAGTCCAACCAATGTTTAGGCTTAAAATAAATTTAAAATAATTTTTTAAAATTAATTAAAATAATAAAATAAAATTAAAATATATTTTATTTAATATTTTTAAGATGCAAAATTATTTACTAAATTATTGAAATCAAATTAATTTATTAACTTTTTAATAGATTAACTTTTGTTGAGATATTACGGATAAGTAATATTTTATGAGAGTTATACGCGTACTAGGTAATTAATATTATGATAATCCGCACGTTAGTGACTTTAATTTATTCTGATGTTTACAATATTAAATAATATATATATATATATATATATATATATATATATATATATATAAAGGTTTTTATTATCCCTCGATTATTTAAAAGTAATATATTTTTATTGAGAAATAATATATCTATCATATAAAATTATAAGAGTGCAATAAATTATTTTTAATAAATTAATGATAATAATAGTATTATTATTATTATTATTAGTGACAGGTGTTTAAAATAAACACTAAACATTAAGATTAATAATTTTTATATTTTAATTAGAACTAATAAAATAAATGAGATAAATAATATAGTTACCGATTAAAAAATATCACAATAAGATAATAAATATTTTTTGAAGAACTATTTATGCTAGCAATATATTCTTTGAGCTCATTTCTTTTAACACACTTCTTTTTAATTAGTCAATTTTTAAAACACTCAATTTGAAAAAAAATCAATTATGAAACAATTGGTTTGACTATTTAAAAATTAAACTAATTACAGAATTATATAAAATGTATTGAAGATTAAATTATTAAAAAAAATTATAATAATTAAGTACTGATACACTCCCTTGTACATATATAAGTTCCCCTGTTTGGATAAATCTTTGAATCTGATTAGAGTGGGTGTAGTGGGATGTATGATCCGTGTGTTTACTAGTCAAACATTGAAATAGTTGTCCACGTAATGCGAAGCTGATCTTGCTTTGCCCATAAGAAGGCAGAGTGAGAAGGCGCTAACCCAAAAACACAAAATGAAGTCTCTTGCATCACTCTGTTTCCTCTGCCTCTGCATTTCTCTTTATCCCTCTTTCTCTTCCTCTGCCATACTATTTCAGGTATCACCATGTTTCAGCCTCTCTACAAAAGCATGTGTTATAGTTGTTCTAACATGAAGAAAGTATGCGTGTGTTGTAGGGGTTCAATTGGGCATCAAGTGAAAAAGCAGGAGGATGGTACAACTTCCTGAAGACGTTGGTTCCTGACATTGCAGATGGTGGGGTTGAGTATGTTTGGCTTCCTCCTCCCTCTAACTCGCACGATGATGGTCCTCAAGGTAATCAATGAGTCGGTTGTGAATGATACCCTGGTCAAGGTCAACACAACTTATTATAAAATACTTTGATTTAATCACCTAATCCAATACTCGAGTTAGCCACTATAGCCCACCTCAAAAGGTTGGATTTATATGGGAACATTGCATTGAGTTCATACTACAATTCAAAATTTCAAATCATCTATCCCTTTTTTTTTTTCAAACAAAAATAACATTGGTATGGTGTCACTTGAAGGTTACTTGCCGAAAAGGCTATACGACCTAGACACGTCAAAGTACGGTAACAAGGAGGAACTGAAGTCGCTGATTGCGGCATTTGGAGAGAGAGGAGTGAAATCCATCTCAGACATTGTCATCAACCACAGAACAGCAGAGAGGTTAGACAACAGAGGACTCAGCATCTTCGAAGGTGGCACACCCGACACGCGCCTAGACTGGGACGTGTCCTACATTTGCAGCACCGATCCAAGATTCAACGGCACAGGGAACCCCGACACAGGGGATGACTGGTGGGGTGCCCCTGACATCGATCACACCAATCCCAATGTCCAAAAGGAGCTCTCTGATTGGATGAATTGGTTGAAATCCGATGTTGGGTTTTCAGGTTGGAGATTCGACATGGTTGTCGGTTATGCTCCTAGGTTCACCAAAATCTACATGGAACAAACAAAACCCGATTTTGCTGTTGGAGAGTTGTATCAGAATGTGTTCATGGGTCAAGATGGAAGGCCCTTGGCTGACCAGGATAAGCACCGTGAAACCTTGGTCAATTGGGTGGATAATGCTGGTGGTGGTGTCATGGCTTTTGATTTCACTACTAAGATGGTTCTTGGTGCTGCTGTTCAAGGTGAGTTGTGGAGGATGAAAGATGCTAACGGTAAGCCTCCGGGTATGATTGGAGTTAAGCCTTCCAATGCTGTCACTTTTGTCGACAACCATGATACTTGGTCTCAGAGGACTTGGCCTTTCCCTGATGATAAAGTCATGTTGGGTTATGTTTACATCGTCACTCATCCTGGTCACCCCACAATTGTAAGTGTTTTCATCTTTGTAAAGGCTACTTAGTTACTTTCCAATTATATAAAAAGTTTTGGACTTTTACATTAAAACGTAGTTTGATATAATTTTATTAATTTTTTAACACACACTTAGGGTATATTTAGATTAACATTGGTATGCGCATTTTAACCTCAAAGGTTTCTTTGAACCGTGTTAGAATTACATGAGTTTATAGTTAAAAAATGTGATACCAAACATGCATTTAGCCTTTTATTTTTTAAAATATTCATGTTAATTTTTTTAATGTTTGTAAAACTTTAATTTTTTTTTCATATTATTGAGTAATATAATATGGTTAGATAAGGAAAAAAATAATACAAATTTTGTCAAAGAAAGACCTACCATAATTAGTTATATAACTTATTGATTGAATTTAATAAAAATGAATATTATGTTATTCAATAAAATTAATAAACCTAAATTCTAAATTAATATTGGACAAGTAATAAAATATATAATTTACCAAAAATAAGTGACTTATAAGCATTTATGGATGGATAGTTGGAGTAAAAAAAAATCTCAAATAAAATATTTTCTTGTAGATTCAATATTAGTTTTAGTAAAATTAGAGTGAAATAGTTTGTGCATGAAAGTGGCTAAAGTTAAAATTTGCAAAAACTAATATAACCATAGTCTTGAGTAATCAGTTCCTTACTTTTGTGGAGAAAATTATATATAGTTGCGTGTTTTGTTTGTTCATGCAGTTCTACGATCACTACATCGAATGGGGACTAAAGGAGCCGATAAAGAAATTGACAGAAATAAGAAAGAGGAATGGAATTACGGCCACAAGCACAGTGAATATTATGGCAGCTGAAGCTGATCTCTACATGGCTGAGATTGACAACAAGATCATTGTCAAGATTGGACCCAAAACGGATCTTGGGAACCTTCTTCCACCCAATGTCCAGGTAGCTACCAATGGACAAGACTATGCTGTGTGGGAAAGAAAGTGAAGCACCAATACTAGATATTAAGTTGGGCATGCATTTTTACTTTTACTAGAATAAATAAAATAAAGACTTTGAATAATATACATACCAATTGTAGAAGAGCATAAGATAAATCTTCGTGGGCTATATACAAATGAATAAGAATGATATACTAACAAAGGGCTGGTAGCCAAATCATTTGTATCCTTCGTTCAAGTATGTTTATTGAAAACTATTTATTGAACTAAGCGGTGTACCTAATTGTATCCACCTTTTTTAAAATAATATAACAACAACAACGTTTGCCATTTGTTCGGACTAGGAGAAAACACAAGACCAAAGCAGAGACCAAGGCTATATTATATTAAAGAAAGGGTAGAACTGAACCTTAGGACTCTCTTGGCTATATAGAGAGGAACTAAGTTGTTTATCTCATATACCTTTCTCTTGCTTGGTCGACGTTAAGGTGAAAATAAAAATGAAGAAAATTTATTATTTTTTATTAAAAGAGCAATGTTACAACACATTCTTTTGAATAATGCACTCTTGGTAATCAAAAGTCTTGAATTGACTGCTGATTACAGCAAGATCTAATGATCCATACCTGTGAAACTGCTAGAAACAAATGGAACTACACCCACCAAGGGTTCAAGATTCAACATTTACTCTGCAAATTTTATTTTAAAGATCCGTGACTTTAGCCTTTGTATGGAATTTTCCATATATTGGGAACCATTTAGAAACTTCTTATTTATACTGACTCAACTAAATGACGTTTATCCAATATGCAAACACTATGCCATTCATAATACTACAAATCTCAAACTCAAAATTTGATTGTTCAAATCTGACACATATCTATACAAAAGTCGAGGTTCAATATATTATCAGAAGCCTATGCACAATACAGAATCGTCTATTTTTTATTCTTTTCTCACCAAGGATGATCAACTTATTTTTTTGTCCTCATAAAGTGCGGAGTAGAAGACCATTCACAATCTTCTCAGTGAGATGGAGTATAATTCAATCAACCACACATACGGAAATCACTCAGATGTACAAATATGGTATTATTTTGAATAATCTCCAAAAGGATGAGATGCTCAGATAACTGCAACATAACAATGCAAATATTTTCAATAGAGATTACCCTGCATGAGTTGTATGTGTTTTTTTTCTTGCAAAGAACATAAGAATCCGAGGGAAAAATGACTTCTTTTTCTTCTTTCCGTTTTTTGTATCTGGGGATGATACATTGTTGCTGTTTGTATGGACATAAGCCTTTGGACTGGAAAAGTAATGTACAGGAATAGATGCACTACGAGCTTGGTTGACGTTATCTGCTTCCTTATGCCGTTCAAAACTAACCCCGGGACTTCTATTCTGCTTTATCACTCCTTGGCCTAATTCGCCAGCCTTTCGTTGTTGCTCATGCACAGCCCTCCATTTTCTTAATTCATGTTCTACACCTAATTTTCCTTCCCTTGCCTTTTCAGCTTTATCCATTGCAATCTTCAGAGATTCCCTTCTAGAAGCCATCTCTCTATTCACATCATTCAACTTCTTCAAGGTTTTCAATTCAGAATCCTTAGCCATATCAATTTCAGAATTAGCAGCTGCAACCCTCATATTGGCTTGCTCTTCTGCATCGTGGGCTTGCTTACTGAGATTATAGTACTCTTCCACTGTAAGTGTCACTCCAGAGGATGAATCCACTTCATTGTTGTTCCTAGCTAATTCACTCTCTTGCAATGCATTAATTGCTGCTATTGCCAACCTTTCAGACGCCCTAGCAGCCTCTATTTCCTTCTGAGTTGCAAGTAATCTACTTTGCATTGTACTGGCCCCAGCCTTGGCTTGCTCCACCTCCTCCTTTATTCTCCGCAGCTCTTCACGTGCTGCTTGAGCAAGCAAGTTGGCCTGATTAGCCTCTTCAGCTGCTTGCTGTAGTTTCTTTGGTAGCTCAACAATTCTCTCTCTGCCTTCTTTTTCCTTCATCTGAACCAAAACTGTTTCTGATCTAGTGTTGTCTAGTTCAGCTTCAAGAGATGCAACTGTAACGGAGGCCATTCCCTCTCTTTGCCTGATGGAGGCAAGAGATGATTTCTCTTGTTCAAGTTCTGATTTTAATGATGTTGCAGCCACCTTTAAGTAATTTACCTCAGTAGTTGCTTTCTCTATGTTGAGCTTTACTTCCTCAAGTTCCGTTTTGGCTGATTCAACTGCTTCTTGTATTTGATTGTGTGTCTTTTTCTTTGGTTCTTCTATACCTCCTTTATCACCTTCATGGTCAGACTTCGATTCCATATAAGCGTTTAATTCAGCTTTCAAATCAAGCAGCAAAGAAGAGGCTGTGTTCAGTTTTGATTTGAGATCCTTAGCAGACAAAATTTTCTGGTTGAGTCTATGGAGTTCTTCTTCTGCCTGTTTAAGTTCCTTCTCCCAATTGAGAGAATCTTGATCTCTTGCCATGACTGTTCCTATCCTGTGTTCCTCTGCCTCCAAGTGAGCAGCATGTGCAGATTCCAAAGACTCCTTGGTAGCAATTAGCTCAATAGTCAAGTCTTCCACTGTCTTCTCTACTTGCTTTGATGAAGCAACAGATTTGTCAGCTTTCATAACAGCTTCATCTTTTTCAACAACTAAGGATGCATACTCCTTACGCAATGCTTCCAATTCCTCCTTCACAGAAGCTAACTCTGTAATAGCAGCTGTATACCTGGCTTTGGCAACCTCAAGTTGTGCCTTGGCTGCAACGCTAGAATCATCTGCAATACCCTGCTCCATCTCTTCCACTCTGAGCTTTGCAAGTTCTGAGTCTTGTCTTGCCTGACGCTCTTCTGTCTGTGCCCTCTCTAGATTAAGTTTTAGTTCTTCTATAAGCCTCTTAGTGCTGTCCAGCTCCTGTAGTACTTGGACTTTGGCTTGTTCAGCAGCCACTGACCTTTTTTTGTACTCTGGGATCTCTTGCTGTGCCTTTTCAAGTTCTTGTTCTACAAGCTTTCGTCTCTGTTTATTCAGATAAAAAACTGAAGTTAATTGCAATTCCAGCAGAAAATGCTACCATAGTCATTAGTACAAATAATTTATCATAAGATGCAATTCTATAAAATGTATCTCCGTGCAGCAACTGCTTTATAGTTGAAGCAAAATTATTTAACTTCCAGAATCACACATTTCATAGTTTCCTTGTAAATAACATTCAAAAAATTAACTTTATTATAATATTTTAACAAAAATGAGATATATAATACACTATGCTCCTTGCCAAAAGAGTTTATAGGAAAATATTAATCAAGAACAATGGGACAAGTTATGCATAAAATGTAGTCTAGCAACAAAATGCCAGGATAGTAAGTTGTGGAGATTCAACAATATTTTTTTAAGGTAAGTTTCTGCACATGCCACACAACTAGAATTGAGAGAAAAGAAAATATACAGGAAATAATTCCAACTTTTCTAATATATGTGTACATGCCCTTTCATGTAAAGGTATGATTACCCCTTTGAAGATGTGGCTTGACTCAGCAGATAATAAATTTCACATTATTATAATATACATTGACATGAAAACAGCCATCAAAGCAAGCTTTCAGTGTTGGTTGTTCTTTCTTATCTTCTATAACTCAAATTAATTATCAAAACAATAATGAAAGCTGTTGTTCTCATCGCTTTTGCTCATATCTCAGCATTTTTCTTCATATCCTATCTTCTAATGCACATTTGGCTTATCCCTAAGAAAGAAGCATTCAGAACATCCAAAAGAATTCTCTGTGGAAAAATAAATGCAAGACATATATACCTCCACGGTCTGGATTCTATGAGCCTTCCAGTCCACAATTCCTCCAAACTTGGAAACAGCTTCCTTGACAGATTCAAAAGGAGCTGCTGTATCAATAAGGCCTCTTGCAGCAATCTGCTTGGCATTTATTAGTGAGTCGACATCTCCCACAGCAACATTTGTAATCTTGGCTTGAGGCTGATCTGTTTTTACTTCTTTGTGGTCATTTGGCAACTGTTTTGTTTCAGAAGAGGAAGGCAAGAGTTTCATCTGATCATCAACATCACTGCCACCAGTAACAGTAGAACCACCATCCTGCTGCCTGATTGAGATATCTTCTAAAGCTCCAGGTTCAGAATCTGCAGACTCGGCTCCCTGGTTGCTTTGTTCTGTAACATGAACTGTAAAATTTGGGGTTGAATCTAAATTATCTATTGGAACATCAGTAGCCTTGGGTAGTGGTGGGTCTACTATTAGTTCTTGGGGATCATCAGTTTCCAACTCTTTTGTTTCAGAAGAGGAAGTTGAGTGTTTCATTGAATTATCAACGTCACAGCTATCTTCTTGCTGTCTGTTAAAGATTTCTTCTTCTAAAGCTCCAGGTTTAGAATCTGCAGACATGGCTCCCTGGTTGTTTTCTTCTGTTAGAAGAACTGCAACGTTTGGGATTGAAGCTGAATTTTCTGTGGTAAGATATTCATCTTGTCCTACAGTTTGACCATCAGAAGCACTTAAGGACACTGCTGATTCAGAAAACTCAGTCAGTGGCAAATGAGAGCCTGACTCCACTCTACTATTATTAACAAGTTGGTTGATGGGAGCTTCAATGGAAGACTGATTATTGGGTTGGTTTATCAGTTCAGTATTTTCTTCAGCAGTTTCTGCCAGTGGCTTCCTTTCAGCACTTCTTGAAGAGGATTCTGAAGGTGACTTGTCTTCTACATCCTCCATTTGTAACCAGCAATTAGAAGTGCCAAAGGTACCTAAAAGGTCAAGAAATAAAGAAAATGAATCAGTGAAAAATCGAAAGCTGTTTTTTCCTGTACAGTGAATTCAATTAGAATTAGAAATAAAATATAACTATGTAGAAGTTTCAAACAACTGAAAACTATAACAAACAGCAAAATGATAATTGATTTCCATATATAATCATTTTTCGGCCCCTCGTTGTATCTATTGGGAAGTTAACTGATATTTGATCAAGGTTTAAGCCTGAAACACTAAATAATGCTCTTTATTATGTTTTCACTTTGACATTCTTCAGAGGACAGATTGAAAGTTCTTTATGAAGAATTCTAATTACAACCCCCCCCCCCCCCAAAAAAAAAAAAACGACAAACATAAAACCAAACATCCTAAAGTTACAGTAATTTGTTATACAGCGGCATGAATTTGAATAAAGTTATTCTAATATACGTTGCAACCATCAAGAACTGAACTTCTAAAGTTACTTAAGTCTACAAAGGGCTTGAACATCAATTAATGAAAGAAATGCAGAAACTTATGATACATGAAAAACTATAGTTCTTCCCTCTGCATACACATTTGCATTCAAATAAAAATTACGATCACGAAGACAAAATGAGAAGACAGAATATCTAGGTACATGAAAATAAATACCATGCATCTGATACAAAAGCAAGTTCAAATCTTTATATTGAAAGCCAGGTTAACTCTTTCCTACCTAAAACAATTCACACATATTCATTACACCATCTGTACTGGCTAAACTTTTTGAAGACAAATATGTCAGCTTTCAATTGTTAACCATACTAGGTAACATGTGGACATGTCTGTAGGTTCCAACCAAATCCGTCGACTGGACGAAATTTCCCCAATTCTTAACTGGGTTGTTGAGAATTCTTCTGATATATGTATATACAAGGAAGAAAAAGAAAAACAAAACCTTATGGAAAAGTCCAAATATGGCAGTTGTCAAAGGCAATTGATATCATATATTCCTAAGCTTTGTTTCCTCTCCTATAAAATGCAGGCTTTTAGGCAAGCATATGGTAAATAATTATATCCAGCCCCAGCTACAATTCAAAAATACTAATCCAAACTCTGCATTATTTTTTTATATAGGACTTTATAATAATGAAAAAATTTATTACATGGACATGCAAAGAGTGGATATGGAGAGGAATTGAAGGTACAAGGAGGAATTGAAAGCAGAAGGAACAAAAGAAATTAAGCAATTAAGATGGTGCGTTGAAAAAGCAAGAAGAACAAAGGAAGCGGAAACAAAAGATAACGAGAGAGGAACGTACCCTGATTAAGCAGAAACGAAACTGGTGATTGAAAGTTAGCAGATATTAATGATCACTGAAAATTATTGAGGAGGAAACACCATGAAAATTAAAATTAGATTCTGCAAAAATAAATTCAGGGAGGAAAAAGTTGCAGCTAAATTTAGCAGAGGGGGAAAAACGGGAAACGGTCAAAATGGTGCACAGTTAGTGGAGCCTACCTTGTCACACAAACAAAAAGGTCCACTCTGTGCTCTCTCTCTCTCTCTACATTTCAACGTGAGAGTTTGTTTGGAGCATGGTTTGGTTTCTTCATCTTTTGATGCAAAACAGTAAAACACGACATAAGAACAGAGTAGCCTATAAAAACAACTCATAATTTTAGTAATTTTTAAAATTTATTTTTAAAAGTATTTAGCATAATTTATTTTAATAAATTTTATGATTAAATTTAACATATAATTTTTTTAATCGAAGAAACACTTAATTAAATTATATATCAAAATGTACTCAAAGTCAACTGAAAACTCAAATGTCATAATCAATGGATAGGTCACGGCCAATACCAGCGGAAGCATTCAATTTTACTTTTCTATCCATCTTATCTCTTAATTAGATAGCGAATTAAAAAGTAACTTTTTAGTTAATAATTTTTAAACAAGCATTATTTAGCAAAAAAATACGAAATTAAAATAAGTTCTGATAAATCATGTGATTCATTGATGCGGTTGCTTACGGTTATGCAGCGTTGATCAATAACAATTAATAAAATATTTGGTGGCGTCACAATGGTTTGCGTGTGACGCACGTAACATCAAATGGGCAGTGTAATTTTCTTGTTGGGCCCAACGGCTCAGAAGAGTCCAACCCATATGAGACAAAATGTCACCCGTTGGGTCCATACGTAGAAGGAGCACCGTTCGATGATAACCTGGGAATTTTCAATCATGCTTCATTTATGCCTGGCATTTTCTTTGCTGTCATCTTTTGACTGTTTTGTAGTTTCATGTTACAGTTCTTTAGGATTTGTCATTTTGATTATGTTTTATAGGATGGGAAAAGAGTAGCTGTTGAGGTTATAGAAATAGAAAAAATTATAATTATGTGTCATATCAAATATAACCCTTAATGCTATCATAATCATTATAATTAAATATTATTATAATAATTATTGTTATCTTTACTATTATAATTAAATCATAAATATTGCATTAAAGTTACTAATTAATTTTTAGTATCACTTAACTCCTTCCTCATTTATCTAGTTTTATTCAACTCTTTTTTTATCTCTAAATTTTATTGTTCTTTCATTTGTAGTGACTCATTTAAAGCTTTAACTTGACTTCTAATTACTTCAACATCCTCTAGATTTGTTGGTTGACTTAAAGATACAACTAAAATCTTACTTATAGATTCAATACCAAAGATTTTTATTTTCTTCTTTCTCCCAATTGAGTTTATTTAGGTTGCATGCCTATTAATTATTCACTACCACCTCTATTATTCTCTCTCAAGGATGAATGTTGAGATGATAATTCAAATCTCTTTTGTTTAAACTTTTTCTGTATCAAATTGGAATAAAAATAAATCAAAGTTTGAAATTAGCCATCATATTTGAAAAATCTATTATACAAGTAAAGGATATAAGAAATAATAGACCACAACACAGTAGCAACAAAGTTTACTTCACTAAATTAAGGTCCACTTAATTTTGAAATTTCAAAACTTGCATTTGATCATAAGGTAAGCAAAATGGATTGATCAATTTATGAAATAATTGAATAAAATAAATTTAAATTATTTTAGACACACTAAACATAAATAATTATCATAATCTATCTATGAACACAAGGTCAATATATACACATATACATAATCAATTAGTACAAATAACAAAGTAAAGCATATGCTAACATAATGTGAGTTTTATGGTTTGCAATTATGAATTAAATATAAGAACTTAAATCGTTGAAAAAATTGTGCAAAGGTGATAATTCATTACACCTTTTAACAATGATAATTTTCATGAATAAGTTTATAAGGTAAAGGCAACGAACATTTTTAGATAATTTTCACGTAAAATATTCAAAACTTTTTTTTTAAATGATTCAAATAACAAAAGTGAATTGATATTGATACATGTATGTATAATTTAAAGTTATAAAGCTTTATTTCCAATCTCAACTATATGCTAATAACAAAAGTAAAAGGAAAAAAAGGAAGTAAATTTCATGTTGTATAAAGAGTGAGCTAAAAACCTGAATAATTCCTCATTTCATAAGGCAATTAGAAAGTTTTAGTAAATGATAATAGCATCAACTTGTCACTAATTTATTAAAGGATTATAAAAACATATTGATGCAAGCAAGAGAAGTACGATAGTCTATCAACCACTAAACTATATTTGGTAAGAAAGCTTAAGCAGCATATAATCCTTATCTTATACTAATATTATAGTGACATTAATAAAAAAGAAAAAAATTAGAGATATTTTTAATAAAAAATAGTGTTATAGGTTGCTAGTTCTACTTTCTCATCTATATACTTTGTCATGCTTAACATACCCACATACATAATATTTAAAAAATACATATATAAGAGGGCTAAATAGGTATCTACAAAAACAATGGTCTATAATTTCTAAATAATTGAGGAAGAAATTTCTAATCAAAATGACTCCCAATAATATATTACAAGTTGTAGAAGAAAGTCAAACCAATCCATAATCAAACTATTCTTCTAAGTAAAATAACGTTAAAAATAAATATTATCCTCTTCAAAGTAAAATAATAAAAGTTATAGTAACATAAGACTTAAATAAGCAGATTTCGCATAAGGATTCACTCAACGATATTTTTTTCATGAGTACGAAAATAAATATCAACCAGTGATTGATTCATCCATTTCTCTTCCTTCTATAATTGATAAAAAGTTTAGTATCCGCTAATTTTATAAATAAAATATATATAGTAGTACAATAATTATATCATTCTCTTCCAATGTAAATAGTGAGGGATTGATTCACTAATAATGTGAAGAGAAATAGTAGTTAGACTCACGATTTTTTTTATCTCAAAATTTTCTTTAAAACTTGAGGACTCCCAATGTGACTTTAGTTATGTCTACACAAGCTCCCTAATCCAACTTGGATTATTACCTTTTTTTTTTTAATTTCTTGCATTATATGAGTAATTTTTTATGAGTCTATTTTCTCAAAATTATGTTTTACCATGTCTTCATATTGAGGCGACCATGTAAACTTTGATTACAATAATTTTAACAAAATAAGTAAAAATTATTAACAAATTAGACATTGTACTTTTAAACAAAAATAATTTAGTGAAATTTTAAGGGAAAACAAAGTAAACAGAATAAAAGCTAAAACTTCTCTAAATTAAACAAGAGTGACATTTGAAAACTTCAATCCTTAAAAAAACATAAAAAATTGAAATTTAATTACACCTAAAGTTATATATTAGATTCTCACTTGGCACTTTCTAACTTATTTTCATCATAACTTTTAGGAAGTTTGATAAGAACATGCATTAAACTTAAAAAAATAATGAAGTAAAGTCATGACATAAATTATGGACCAATTATTAATGTGACAATCAATGTTTCAAACTTAATTTTATATGAAAAGAAATGAATTATTTTGTTTACCTTAAATATATCAAACCACGTATCTTGTTGAATTTTAGAAAACTTCTTTCATGATGGTTGAGTTTCCTTAAATTTACTTCGTATAGTTGAAGTAATAGTCACAATAATCATCTTATGGTTAAAAGCAATCAAACCTATATACAACAATTAAAGAAATAATTAATATTAAAAATTTAATAATAATAATAATAATAATAGTATAACAATAATACTAGCAATGTGATGAACCCTTGCTATGTGTGTTTACACTATGAACAACTTCATAGTTCAATATAAACTTGATATTAACTGGTTGCATATACTATTCTGCTACATTACTTTACTTTAAATTATATTGAATTTGAATTATCATTGTGATTGATATTGACTAAAACTTTTATTATGGTTGTGAAATGTGAGGAATGTCAAAGTAGGTTTGAATCGAATGTATAATTGGTATGTTATGAGAAATAAGGGTTCTTCTCCATCACAATATGGTTCCCAGTCATCAAATTCTGTCCTTAGTAATATCTTCTACCTACACATTTAGGATGTATTTTGTTGGCATTAATTTTTTATATTTATTGCCTTTCGTGCAGTGTTTTGTGTTTGAATGCAAGTTTTTAGCAATGTTACACTTTGATGACATGTAATTGGTGCATTATTTTTTTGGCTTTGGTAAACTGACTGTATATTGCTGCTATGCTACCTTTCAGGCTAAGAATATTTTGTACTTGTAATTATTTGTTTAAATAAATAAATTATCTTTGCTACCATTTCATTCTTTCATTAGTTTTCATTTTTTATGTTTTAGAATTTGTAAATTTAACAGGTAGTGTTTGCTAACTATGTACTGTTGTCATGCTTCCTTATAAGCTAAGAACATTTTGTGTAGATAATTAGTTATTTACATAAATAATTTACCTTTGTTACCATTTTATATTTTAATTAGTTTTCATTTTTTGTTTTTGAATTTACAAATTAAATTGGTAGTGTTTGCTGTAACGTGTCTAGTGTTAAATGTAATTTACAGGTAAACTTCTACTTTATTTATTTTTCTCTTATTTAAATTTAACAGTATCAATTATGAACCCTAATTTGAATAATGTACCATAATTTTGATGTTACAAATTATAAATCCTAATAGTAGTGCACCAGCACTGCACAATATGCACATTAGTCATTTAGATTTTTGGTAATCTACTCACTTTGATTTTTTAATTTTTTTTATAATTCTTATCAAATATTGTTATACTTTGGTTATATTAAAACTAACTATATTTTGTGATAATAAGAAAAATAGGTTGCATACGTAGATAGTACCAAAATATAATATGTGGATGTTAATTTTTGGATAATTTGGTTAATATAATGGATATGGTTATTGCTCTATATTTTATTAATAGGTGTATTTTAAATTAAAGTTTTTTGGCATATGTGAGTGAATGCTACTAGAATTTTTTGTGAATGTTATTGTTAAATAATTTAATTATATATAGTGGATAAGTAAGACTAATGTTCTATATTTTATTAATTGAATATTTTTGCCAACTTACTATTAGTCTATTACTGTAGAAAGTGATTAATAATTTTATTTTATTTTATTGAGACATGTTAATGATTTAGATTTTGGACTATTTTTTATCTTAATTTAGATTTTGACATGCATCCAATTTTCCTACTACAAGTTTTATTTCCAACTTCATTTTTTCGATAAAGTAAAAAATCGTATGAAATGATAGTTTAAAACCAACCCAATAAAAATAACATATACACAACTAATATGCTATAATATATATATCAAACCAAAAATCAAAGAATAGAGCTAAGAAATATCTTATATACATACATAAAAGAAACAAATTGCTTAAAAATATATTGTTTTCAAACTAAAAGAGCAAAGGAAAATGGTTACCTAAAAATAAAAACTTTAATAATATAGTGAATATTACATTGTTCTTTGAAAACTTAAACATTTTCTAAGTCAAATTTAATCAAAACTAGATGATAATGAGTTAAAAAATCAAAACAATAACCAAAATATGTTTGTAAATAAGTTTTACTTGAATATAAATAAGTAAGAGATACTGAAATAAATCACGAATAAACTTTACATGAATAAGAAAATAGCTTCAATGGGGATAATTGATTTGAATGATCTTTAATGGTGAAATCAATGACAATTAAAATAAAGATGTAGGGAGCTAGGGTTCTTGTGAGATATAGTAAAGAAAACATGACGTGAGATGTTTTTTTAAAAGCCTAAATTGCAGTTAAAATATTCTATTTTAATTCTTCTTCTTCTTTTTATATATATTTTTATTTGAATAATAATAATAATAATAAATTATTTAATATTTAAACAAACTAAATAATTATTAAAAATGTATTTAACTATACAGTTTTTAAAAAATTTAAAAATTAAACAAACTTAATAATTATTAAATTATTATTAAATATTTTAAATAAAATTAAAATATAGTAAAATAAAAAAAAAATCTTTAATTTAACTTAGTACAAAACATATTTAATTAAAATTAACAATATTTTAGTTGAAATTTTATTAAATATTGAATTAGAAATAATAAAAATGATAAAATTTAATAAATAAATAAATAATATATTTTTCTTAAATTTTTATGAGTTGTCTTCAAATTATTTTATATTTTAAAAATTAATTTATTTTGATGAGGAAATTAATTAATTAAATTTTAGTAAATAAATGAATATTAATTTTTATAAATTTTGCTAAAAATATTTCCTACACTAATTTTGACAATAAAATAATAAGATCATTAAATTTTCTTGCAAATTTACCTACAACATTTTTCTACAAAAACTTTAGCACAAAAATATGTAGGAAACAATAATTTTTTTCTGCTATTTTATCCCTAAGAAATAATGTAGGAAGCTTTAAGGATTTTTGTGAATTTTTTATTTTCATCTTTTTCCTATAAAAATTTTGGGAAAAAATTGCAAAAAATTATGAGCTTTTCCTATCTTTTTGTTTTCTAGAAGATTTTATAGGAAACTTAATAAATTCTTTCAAATTTTTGATAAACTTCTTTCATCATAAATAGTTAGAATTTCTCTAAATTTACATAAAAATTACAAGAATTTTTTGAAAAAAATCTGTATAAAAAATTTGTATGTAATAACTATAATTCTAGTAGTAAAACTCACATAAAAATCCTCTCACTAAATATGTAGCTTATGTATACATATTTCATCTTTAATAAGATCTGAGTTATAATTTTTTAATTTAATTATATTACTTTCACTCCTTTTTTTTATTAAATTAACAAATACTATTTTTAAAATAATAAATAATTATAAGTTAACGCTATGTAAGTAGGTTAAAATGGTATTATGTTTTATTAATAGAAGTTAGTTTAAGTGATAAGTGGCTTGATATTACTTAAGTAAAGTCTTAGGTTTGAGTCTTTGTGTGTATAAAATTTTTTTAGTGATAGACTTATCTATCACATCTAGGTTAAATTTTACTTTATTAAATTATTATTATCCTTTTTTTTTATTAAGTCACAAAATTTTTTTGTGCGACTATCATTTTTATTTTTATGCCTTTTGAGTATCTTCTTACTTGATAAGTTGATGGCTAATTTTCTAAAAGAAACAAATGTACTAAAGTGAAGCTTCCTTTGTAATAGTATTTTTTTTTTATACAATTAAATCTTTGAGATGAAATCCAAGACCATATGTTTAAGAAATTCAAGCTCTTTTCTTTGAGATTAAAATAATTATTTACTATAATAATTATTTTATTATTTATTTAGACAACAAAACAAAAAACAAACTTAATTTTTTTTCTTGAATATTCAGTTTGCTTTTCTTTTCTCTTATTTTTTAATTCTATTTTTCTTAATTTTTTTGTATAATCAAAAAGGCTAAGGGAGACTATTTTTTAGTTTACTGACTTTCACAGTAAAGTACAATTTACCTTACATTTAAAATAAAATAATGTTATAGAGTTTCCATTATAAGAATACTCCAAAATTTTATTGATTTTATTAATATTAGTTTTTAAGACTAATTTTAAAAATAATATAAATTTTCATTTATAAAAATATGTATTTTATTTTTATCTGATAAATATTTTTAATAAACGATTATTAATTTTAGTGTCTAAAATTAACTTTAAGAATTAATATTAATATTATTTGCGAAATAAATCATTCATGAGGCTCTGCTTTTTCCATTTTAGTAGGTGTGATTTGCTCAACTATCCTTCCAGTAGACAATCCCATCATTATTGTCTCAGATTCTTTGCCTTCCATTATACCCAATCATTTTTTGAGTTATTGCTTTGGTAAAATTGGGAAAGACAGTGACCATGGAGCAAACAAGAAAAATTTAAGTCGAAGTAACTTTATACTCATAAGCTGATAATCCCATATTTAACAAGTTCTCCCATGATTAAATTGATAGATGAAATGATATAGTTGCAACAATTATGACAACTGATACATTAAGTTTGAATGAAAAAATACTAAAAAAAATCCATAATAAAAGTGACTAAAAGTGTAATTATTTTTCCCCCAAGATTGGCTAAGCGACTTTTGCTCTATCCTATTCACACAAATTTCTCAATAAATAAACTGCATGAAAAAAAAAAGTTTCTCTGTACGTACCAAGTAGGTACATTAAAAAAATAAAACAAACAAAAATTTGCAAAACAAAGAAAAAGGAGTGGTATAAACTAAAACCTAATTAATTAATCCATCAAAAGAGAACCAGATCTTCTAGGATCAGTAACATTGATTTTCCAATGCATATCAGGCAATCCCAATTTCCCGGCCTTTCTTCTTTCCCAGTTCAACTCAGTTCTACGCGTTCTGGTCAATCTACACAATCGTTGCAACCTCTCATCCATTCCATCATGCACCTTCCACCACCGTTGATGCGCCACGTCACTCGCGTAAACCCTTTGATCCTGCACGTCCCAATTACAATCATAGTCCCTATAACAATGCCACGGTTTCAAACCCAAGTAATGAATAGCGTACAACTTAGGAGGCTCCGCGCCAAACAGCGCGTTCTTCACACTCGCCTCAAGCGTCGTGTTGGCCCAGAAATTCTTCAAATAGTTCACGCGCCTCGGAAACCTGTGCCACCACACGAAGATCTCGTTTAGGAACCCTTGGTCGCCACCGTTGTAGGAAACGACGTCGTGGCGACGCTCCATGAGGACGTTGAAGGTGCAATTGGAGGGCTCGATGACCATTATGCCGGAGTTGAAGATGGATTGGTCGTTACCGGTCGCCGACATTTGAGGGAAGTGGAAGAGAATGTCGAGGTTTCGGAGGACAATGATGTCGGCGTCGATGAAAATGATTTTATCGTAGTCGGTGAGTTGCCAGAGGCGGAACTTGCTGTAGTTGTATTCGTTGTAAGTTCCGTTTTCGGCTTTCGGGTTTCGGATTCGGGTTATGGTTCGGATCTTCCAGCCGGAGAGTTCGAGGGCCTGGCGTTTGGGGGCTGAGATGGAGTTGTCGAGGAGGAGGATTAGGTCGCGTTTGGTTCCCGTTTGGAGGAGGGTTTGTGCTAGCGTTATTGCGCCGCAAACGTAGCTTTCCGAAGAGTGAAGCACTGTCGCGTACGCTTCGCGTTTCGCCCTCGCTTCGCTTGTCACTATGCGTTCGATCTTCGACGTGTCGTACACCTCGTCGATCCCTGAAATATCCAAGAAAAACCCGCTATGTTTTTACAAAGAAAAAAGGGTAAAACATACAGAAGATTATTAAAAATTATTTTATATTTTTATAAGTTATTAATTTAAAATAATTTTTTTAAAATGAGTGACGGGATATGATGTTAAAAAATGCAATTCATTTTTTAAGTTTTATTTTGTTGAGTTTGTCATGATAATCTGCTACAGTCTATAAGAATAATAATAACAATAATAATAATAAAAAGGTAAAAGAGGAGCAAATTGCATTGCGGAAAATTAAATTTAATCATTCATAATTTATATTTGGTAATTTAATTAACTAAACTGATTTGAGCTAATTTTTTGTATGTATTGCCTGATTAGTATGCGTTAGATGGACCGAAACCAAAATTTCAGAATGCAAGAACTATTCATTGTCACGTAAATTGAATTTGAACGTGATTGGGATATGTGAAATTTGGTTCTAAATAAACAAACAGGCTAGTAGTTGATGAAAAAGTTAACTAATTTTCAAACAGCAATGCTTATTAGAATACATGAATATAATCAATAAGAAATGTAAATATTCAAAATTAACTAATGAGGAAATCATTTAAAAAGGGGTAAAAATATCTAATTAATATTAAAAAAATAAAAATTACACTTCGAATTCGTTAGACATTGACTTTTACACTTATTAATAAACCGTATAATATAAATATCTAATTAATATGCTAACTAATTAATACTCACGTAATACATGGGGTTAGCTAGTATAAATAAAAAGAGCTATAGTTTATATGTACAGAAAAAAATAATGTATGCATGCGATTTTCCTATAAGGAAATATATATATATATATATATATATATATATATATATATATATATATATATATATATATGCTTGACCCTTTGATATATACGATGATAAAATCTTATTTTATTATATGATTTTATATATATTTTTTCAAAATTGAAAGCTATATTGTAACTAACTTTGATTGTAACGTAGGGAAATGATTTCTAAACACATATACTCTTGGTACGCAGGGAAGTTGAAGACAATAATATAACAAGCTTATGTTGAGAAAAAAGCAAAATTTTAACGAAACTAAAAGTAAACTATGAATATGACTAGTCAATATATAGCAACTAACATTTCCTTTTAGAAAAAGGCTAAGAAAGCCATCTAATTGTGGTGGTTGGTTCACGTCTCATAAAATATTATAGTGGTTATCACTTTTTAAGAACAAATAAAATATGCTTTTATTATGACAATGCTCCACTACCCCACTAAAAAGAAATAATAACTTTCTGGACAATCAATTATAGCTTCCACAATAAACTTAAGATAAAATAATTGAAGGTTAGACTATATATATTAATTTCACGGAACTATTGCTCACCAGACGCAAATTTAAGATCAAATGTAAGTGATAACTTTATTCTTAAGCTATTAATTATTAACACCTTTTTAAATAGCATGCAGTTTGACTGATAAAAGTAATGTTGCATGATATTCATGTACTTTTAACTTATTTATATTTGCAAAAAAATTTAATAGAGATAAGTGTTTCATTTTGATTAAAACAAGGAAAACACATTTCTTTTTTAAAAATTGTACTCTCTTCAATTTTTTTTATAAAAATAAATAATTAATTCATCAATATTAATAAAAAATGTTATATATAAAAAAATTAGCAATGAAACTGACTCATGCTCTTCAAAAGAAGCACGTGCTAATTTTGTTTTAATTTTACAAAATAGTAATTTTTCAGTTAATTATTTTCCCTGAGCGTTTGATTATACATTGTTTTTTATGCTAACGTATTAAATCAGACACATAGTAACTCATTCTTTCCATGATTGTGTCATTTAATGAAAAATTTTTATGCACTAATATCCATGAAATAGCTACAACAGAAGTGTTTTGCACCCTTTCTCTGCACACCAGAAAATGTAACCTTGCTTTATATGAAAATAAGTTATTTAAATCTACTTGATGGTACATGCATTGAAATTCAAGTCTTGAAAAATAATTAAAAAAAAAATGTTAGTTATGCTTGATGTGAGGTATCAGCTAATCCGAAAGCTTCAACTACAACAATGATTAAGATTTTAATATTATGCTATTTACTCAACTAGCAAACCAGCGCCTGTAGCTCAGTGGATAGAGCGTCTGTTTCCTAAGCAGAAAGTCGTAGGTTCAACCCCTACCTGGCGCGCTGTTCTACTTTAAGTTTTTTAAAATTATCTTAATTAGTAATTATAAAAGTGCTTAGATTTTTTTTTAGTGTAATTTTGATAAAAGTAAAGCAAAGACAGAGATGAATAGATGATTAAAATTTGAATGCGTGAGCATACCTTGTTCCCATAGAGGCAGAGCTAAATTACAGGACCCAACAGGCAAAGAAACCTTCTTTTCTAACCACTTCACATCAGACTCATAATACCACCACTCACCTTCTTGCTTAACCAAGTCATCACATCGAAACAACTCAAGCATTGGTCTACACTTGCTCCAAAAAATCACTTTAATCTTCCAATTCCAATCCTTCTTCCCTTTTTTCACAGCCAAATTTGCAACAATTAGATGAACTTGTAACCTGAACACATCCCTTCCCCACCCTTCTTCAGGGTAATTGCATGGCAACTTAGCCACAATTACATCCACACTTTCATATGCTCCAAACTCTGGCATTGGTATCTCAGGGCATGATGGAACATCACTCTCTTCCTCCTCATCTATCCATTCGGGAAATATATCTGTCCAATTGAAAAGGGTTGATACCCTCTCAAAATAAACGTGTGTTGTTTCTCCATGCATGCTCCATTCGCTCACATCATCTTCATGCATGTTCACTATGCCCATCTTCATTCCTCTCCCCATTTCACCAAAGAAGCTTGGCACCTCTATCTTTGTCGCGTTTATCTTCTTTAACCCCCTTGATTTCGCTTGAGGTTCCTCCAATTTTGCTTTCATTTTTATGCTTTTTTCTCCCTACAAGTTTCAATATCAAACAAATTTTATATACGCGCCTTGTCATATTGCTAACAAAACAATTCCTCATAATAATTAACCAATAGCAAAATGTTACTTGTTCAATTTCTCTTTATAGCATATAAACTTTATCTAATAGAAAATCAACTGTAACTTTAATATATTATTAGTAGAATGTATCATATTAACGATGAGATGAATTAACAAGAGTTTTCAAATGAGTTATTCGATAATTGAAATTTGAAGCTCAAACTTAGAAAACAACTCAGGATTAGTGGGTCCAAAAAACTTGAATGGATTCAAACATAAAAGTTACATACTTTAGAGAGCTTAATCAAAACGATCAACCTATTTTTTTGGCTCCAAAAATTATAATTACAACACTTTTGTATATAGAACAATTTTATTTATTAGTATAATATATATATATATATAGATATATATCATAACCACTAATTAGTTAATAATATAATTTCTGTAATCTGAAGGCTATTCTAACGGAGTAAATATAATGAATAATAGTTTTTAATATAAGAGTATTTTAGGAAAGCAAGAATTGGAAGAAGAAAGGGATCCCATTAGAGTAAGCTCACCTTACCTTGTGATGGCATTCACGCAAGGAGCACCTAACAAGGGAGGCTGCATTGTCGAAATAAACGGAAGAAGAAGGACGGAGAAGAAGGGTTGCATAAAGGACCAGAAAGATGGCAAGACACACCAAGTTGATTCTGATTACCAATGCTTTAGATGGTGCCGTCTTCACCAACTTTTGAAGACTCGAAACTTCCATCCCCCGAGCAATAACAATGTTTGCCCAAACAGTGCCTTAAATGGAGGGGACCTAGAACTATATATGTAAAAGAATTCCCCACTCGTAAATTTAGAGGAATTAGCAGTAGTTAAATATGATGATTAGTTTGAGGAGTAAGGAGTTGTTAGAGAATTATGAGTAAATCTCAAAGCAACACGGACCATTCATGTACCTCCATTTGTCCTTTCTTGTGGATTAGTTTCCTTTAGCGATAGATAAGAGAGTTTTGAAGCGGAATTGCTTTACTTATATTTCAGGTTTGGTGGTCACCTACATTAATTTCCCTACAAATTTCTAAATGACAAAAATATCATTATACGTCTTTCTTGTCCCTTAATCATTTCTGAAACATAAAAGAAGGGATAGAGTAGTAAAACGGCAATATATTCCAATTTTGGAGAGAGAAAATATTAAAATTGAATTTGTGTTAAGGTCAGTTGAGCAGGTTCACCAACAACTGATCGGTTGCCTTGTCAATTTCCTACACGTAATCAAAGATCAAAAGAGTTATGAAGTGTGTATATATGATCACAAGCTTGTTTTGTTTTTCATGTTGATTATTCATATAATATATGTTTATAGGTTGCACGTCAATACATCATAAACTCACCAAAGTTATTTGAAGGCATATTTTGCACGGGGACAACTATGAGAATGGTAGACCATCGTATTTTTGTCCCCACGTAATCCTTTTGTCGATTAGACTAACTCGTTGGGGCCCAGCCAACCAATGGGACATCACCCTTTGCAATAAAATGGACCACGCAGTAGGTCAACCATGACTTTTATAGGACCATGATGCATTACATTATAAGGAGCTGTTCTTTTTTTAAAACAAAATAAAACATTACATGTATAAAATCAATAAGAGAGAATGCCAACGAAGGAGTTTGATTCCTTTAAGTAAAATCTCATATTGTCTGATTTCATCCAGCTTGACTTGGGATCCAACATAACCTTCACATATCGATATCAAGAGTTGCATAGAAGTAGAGTTAAAGGAAATTTATAAAGCTATTTCCCAAATAAAGAAAATTCACATACACGAGTTTGAACTCCTACATTTTAGTATTTCACACCCTTAACAATGGGGTTTCATCAATCTCTTTAATTGAATTGGATGTGAGCGGTTATGTCTTCTTACAAACATCTAAAACGTGCATCCATTGAGTATCTGCATAGAAAACATTTCTCTCGACACTACAAGGAAAAGGAACACACAACAACTATGAGGCAGAGATGTCCTGACATCTTACCATTGATCTGACTTAAATGTGACTACAACAATAACATCAAATTTCATGCGAAAACAACATAAAACCATGGTAGCTTATCTTTGAACTCTGGGAATCTTGCATTAATTTATTTTCTTGTATGAGGTGATAGTGAACTTTTCCTGGGGAGAATGAAAACAAATCTTCTCTTCCAGTAAGAAACATCAAGAAGGATTTTCCCCAATTTAATGGATCTGATTCTGATCCAATCAACTGGGTGTTATAAACTCTGAAGCGAATCAGCATTTTGGTTAAATATTATATGCTATATCTGATGCTGATCGAATAATACATGTTTTAGCTCATAAAGGGATGATTTAATCCCCTGGTTATCACTGGTGTCAAATGCTAATTGGTTACAACCAATTTCCAAGTGGCATGCCCTTTCATGAGCCACCTAAATCAAAGTTAGATAAAGACAGCCTTGCTTTCACTTATTGCATGTTTGAATTTATGTTTGGATGAGTATGAATTCATGTTTATTTTACAATTACTAGGTGTAACTTCTACCTTAAATTCACGTTTATAACTTTTTAACGTGTTTCCAAACACATATTTATCTAACTACACTTGCCAATTGTGTTATTGGTATAAGTAAAGGAGCCCTTTTGGATTGTTTTGGCCTATAACCTTAAGTGACTAAGTATAGATGCTATAACTCAATCACTTAAAATTGTGTTGTAATTAGTCAAGTTGAATTGTTTGAAAAGAAATAACACCTTCAAGGTTCAAAAGATATACCTGCAGTGTAGCATAAAGACGAGTTAATATCTACTAGGTACAACATCAGAGCTATATACTTAACATACTTAATGCCTGAAAAAGTGAAAATTTATCCCAATTGCAGTCCAGACATGTCCCTGTTCCCTTTTTGTAGTTACACAAAGCCACAGTTGTCTTCATCGAACATGACTAATTATTTGTCGTAGTTTTTACAAATCTTTGAAAAAAAAAAAACGATATGAAATTAAACTAAAATTTATTATATTTATATATTTTTTAAAAACTAAGCAACCTTTAAGAAACTATAATGCAACTTTAAAGACAGGGCAGGGCATCATTAAGAAACCCATGTAATAAGTATCATTTATCTTTCTCACAAAAAACCGGACAAATGCATGCAACACACTGGGAATGTTTGTAGGCCGTAATAGGACTTCTTAAACCACCATTACGGTGTTGCAAAGAAAAAAAAAAGATAAAACTTAAGAAATATTTAACATAAAAAAAATAACTCTTATGGTAGATAACAAATTTTAAAGATAAAAAATATTAATTATATAATTAAAGTGTGTGTTAATTGTTGTTGAATGATAAAGACAATTTATTTGACAAACACTAAATAATTCTTTTATCTATAATATAGATTCCACCCATCAAGATATTTTGTCATCATTTTTTTTGGTTCATCATCTCATCTTTATTTAAAGATATATTAACTTATTATGGTTGTAATTTTAAAAATTAAAGTATAGAATTAGCTCGTAGTAGTTGATAAGAGTATTTAAAAAATTTATAGAAATAATTTAAAATATAAATTAAGTCTTTAACATTTAATAAAATGTAAATATTGAAATGATTTATACAAATATGCAAAAACTCAATTATCTAAGAGAAAATTATTTTCAGTTGAATGCGTAAAAATTAGGTATTATTTTTTAAATGAACTTAATGATATATTATTATTATAACAAAAGCGTAAAAATTTTTTATTCTACTTTCTTACAATCACTTCCGTTTCACTATTTAAGATAAGTAATTTTTATGGTATCTTATAAACTGAGAGAGTATAAAATGCTCTTTTACAGGTGAAATATCTTATATCGATAAATATTAAAATTAATAATTTAATTAGAAAAATATAAATACTTTTTAATTTTTAAAATATTTTAAAAATCACAATCATAACAAGCAATATATAGTTTAAGATTTTATTCCTACATATCTCACCGGATTATTATTTTGGGCAATCAAAGCCCTGATTCTACAATAATTACGAACAACATTAACTATCACTACTTCCACTCACTTAGTTTCATAATTGTTTACGGACTTTAACTCAATTTTCATTATTTTATTTCTTGACAACTAAATTAATTTATAGGTAAAGATGTGCGGGAATAAGAATATAATCACTTACTTTATGGTTAAAGTAAGGTAATAAAAATAAAGTAAGGTCATAAAGGCTTTTTTTTAATTGATAGTATTACTTTCATTTCTTTTTATTAATTCATTTTAGAAGATTATGAAGTTTAATCAATATTCTTATTTATGCTAAATTTTTTAATGTGATATTTTATTATTTCTCTTTCATTTATAATAAATATATAAAAAAATTTAAGAATTGAACAAAAATAATTATCTAATTACAGTGGTGATAATTAATTTGAATTATGAAGTACATAGATAAATAAAAATCTAAAAATAGATAGACATAAAAAGAAACGAAAAATTTATGACTTTTATCGACCTTTTCACCTCATGTATATGTGATTTTATTTCTCCTCATAATGCAAATAAATGTCCTGTTCAAAGCAAATTCTTATGATCTTCTCGTCCATTCACTTTTATTCTTCTATCTTCACTTTAATTTAAACCTCAATCATGGGTAAGAAGAATATATCTTTTGCGCTCAAGATTTCGATGCTCCTACACGTAGAGATTGTGAATAATTTTGATATTTCCATGTTATGTTTGGTCTTGATATATATATATATATATATATATATATATATATATATATATATATATAATTTCTTTTATCTAGATTATAAGTATTTTTTTATGAAAGGTAATTCTGTTTAAGAATATGACACGATTAATTCCCTCAACAATTCTTTTTTTCATATACGAAATTCAAATTCTCTTTTTAAACTTTTAATCATTGAAAAAGAACGAAAGAACTTCCATCCATTTGAAGATTTTATTATTTTTCTTCTTCTTTTCTTTCTTTCTGTACGTAAATTACTGTTACGATTTTTTTTCCCGATGTAGCATGTCACCAATGAACTTGAAATAAAATATCAATTAAATTTATAATTTTTATTGTCGGATTTTATTCTATTTTTTTATTAAAAAAACTTCTTTCATCATTGATTTTAAATATTAACTTTAAATTAAAGATATGTTCATATTTATTTTTCTCTTAAGGTATTAGTTTATTGTTTTAAAAAAGTAACATCATATCATTGTTACTGACAAAGACTTTTGGACCTTAATAATTAGGTTATGTAAATATAGGTGTTAGTTAAATTTTGTTGATATTTAGAAACATATTTGTACAAAATATAATCTAAAATTAAATTTTGCAAGTATTTTGTTTTTTGGCTATTAATTTTGTAAGTATTTAAAGAACGTAGCAGGATTAGATATGATTCCGTCACAACATTAACGCAATGACGATAGTAATAATATGTGATTCCAGGAAACATTTTTAAATACTTTTCAATCCTTTATGCATATTATCCTCCGCAAAAATAAATGTTGAACCCCTTGTGAAAAAACAAAAAAGTGCTATAAATAATGAGCCCTTATCAAACATATGTTCATCTTGAAGCACATTGAAGGTTTTGCCCAGCTCATTTAATTGAGAAATTATTTTCTGGCCCATATATATATATATATATATATATATATATATATATAAGTATTTAAAAGATTTTCTTAAATATCTCGAATTACCGTTCTTCCTTTTCAAAATATTATACCATATGATTAAGATTCTTTCTCTTTTTATCAATAATCTTTAGTAGTAGAGTTCCTTTGAAGATTTTAAGAATAATCAAAGATAACGATGTACAATGCATGCATTATGGAAATTGGGTTCCAATCACATCAGAATTGTATACCATATTTGACCCAAGAATCTGATTTGGACTGGATGAGAATAATTAATGTTTCTTTAGAAGAACGAATTATTTTCCATCAGAATCTTAAAATTATTTGACAGTTAA